TACACAGGGCTTTACTCGGCTCATTGCTTTTTATTTAACCAAAAACGATGTATTCATAGACATGGAATTTAAGACATATTAGCATTCTTGTCGCTTTAGGTTTATATTGGCAATTTAACTTAATCGTCGTTTTTAACCTTAAACTATTGCTTATCCGTATTACAGCCTTTTTATCAAAGAAAAACACTCTGAGATAACACGTCGAAAGAAATCGTAATTCTTGAGGTACCGGTATGTATTTTGTAATATGTAGCAGTTTAAACCTGTAACACCACATTCTTTGCATGGCATGGCGGCGTATGGACGTGTAGGCGGGCGCCGCCGACCGCAAGTGTATTGCTATTGTCATGATCAACTTGTTCATCTAATCTCTGTATAAGTGATGATACATTCCGTTTTAGAAGCATGCAATATTAAGTCAAAAAGAAACTAAAAAGCACGTGTTTACTGAGACAATGATACCACACTTTCAACCAACCGTTCTTTAAAATAAGGCCCGAATGTTAATAAAAAGTGGGTTCTTTGCTTGTATGAATGTCATATTCTTGGTGTGCTGCCCAAGTCGGTCTTCGGTAGTATTCAGTTTAATTCAATTTGCTTCGGACTACCTTAGAGCATATTCGAGTTACCTCAGGAGGAATACCAGCACGGTAACACTTTCGGGAATTCGACAGCCTTCGTTTTAACTCCGTTTAGGTAAAATTGGAAATTGGCTTTGGGCAACTTTAGACAAACTTCGAGAATTTTCTGTCAACTACAGATGAGTTTCGGAAGTGAAGGGAATTCAAAGAAATTTATACTACTAGGACACCTTTTGTTTTAATTTTACTTGTACCATACGAAACTAAAATAAGGACGACGATTACGATGAGTTTGATACATAACAGGAAATTCGTGATGGATTGGTGACATTGGTTCATGTCATTTTTAGTAAACGCTCGTGCATATATATAAAATGAGAACTTGTCATCTCTGCTGGGCGATTTCTCTCAGTATTATCTGCAGACAACGAATACATTTCACTTTGGGGTCGATCAGTTTAGAGTCTATTGCTTAGCGGAAGTTAGAAAGTCAGCTGAGCAACGAATCTGCAATCTGACAAACCAGCGTATATCTGGTTGATTCCGAAGGGTTAGTACGGGTTAAGAACCTGGTTGTTCTGCATGGCTTAGTGCAAAACTGGATCCCAGTTTACTACGTGTTACTACAGTCACTTGTAGTCACTATCTCTTATTGGACAACTTACTTCTCACTTAGGGCAAAAAATTGGGTTAGGGAAAAGAGGTAGGCGGGCAGTTTCCCAGAACCTAAATTGATCTGACAACTCCACAAAGAAGACACTTTCCTTAACTCTTCCAAAGCGAATTCTTAAGGTTAGGCCCCGTCCACGCGAATCCGTTTTAGTTTGAGAACGGAGATTTGTTTTCCTCCGGTATAAAAACGTATCTTTTCTCCAGAGTGGAGATTTTCAAAAACGCTGAAGGTTTTAAAATACGATGATGTCGTGCATCATATGCTACTAGCATTGCTCAGGCTCTGTGAGGGATGCTATTATGGTATTTCCATCGTTTTAGCATTTTCATGTGGACGGACGGATAAGTGTGGACGAGCATTTTTTGTTTTTTTCGGAAACGGAGGAAAAAAAACTCCTTGTTCAAAAATATCCGGATACTTAACACTTAGTGCGGATGCTGGAAGAATGTCCCTCTTGAAAGTTTACTCTACTGCTGTGACCCGTAACGGGTTCAAGGCGTCCTCAAGATACCTTATAACGTAGAAATCTATCTTAAAAACCAGCCGACGGGGCTGCAGTCATTAGGTTGGTTGGAATCTGGCTTTCTCTATTGAAGCTTGTCACGTTTTCTTCGCGGGTTACCTTTCACACATTCAACACAGTCACAGTTGCTTACGACGCCACCTGGTTACATGGTCTATTGATTCTAAACACTCCCTCAGTACGCCCCCTCTGCCGATGTTTTATCCAAGGTTTATCATACATTTTGCCAGACTAATCCTCCCACTCTTTGTTGATGACCGGCTAACATTCGCGGGATTGCCTCGAATGAGGAGTATGCAATCTTTCACTGAAACTCTTACATCTAATGAAATATAGATAGAGCTACGCTGCGCTCATAGCTCTCTAAAATACAAGGAAATGTTTCATAGTGGCAAAATTTAAGTTACATGAACTTGTATTGCTTAATTACTGTGGGCTTTAAAAAGTTACTCATGTGAGCCTACCTTACTATGACTTTAGCATGTCTTCAATCCACAGAACGTGGCCAATAAGGCGTTACACGTGTGTAACAATTTGCGAGCGTTGTAATGGCATACATAAACTCACCATACCAGATGTAGTGGCCTCTACTGAACTGATCGTGAAGCGATTAGAGGAGACTAGACTAGACGTGTTCTTTTTGCGTCACATTCCTCGTTCCATGCGTTCCTTACAGCCGCGGCCCTTTTACAAAAAGTTGCATTTTTGGCCTTTATTCTCATAATTTATTAATTATCACTAGTTTTAAGAAATAAGTATTCTTATTCTTTACTCAATTTTTATCAAGTCCTCTTGAATAAAGCGATTTTTTGGTCGTGGTATCTGCGTATACCTTCAATATAGTTGAAAAATTCAAGAGATTTCCTTAAGATTACGCGTCGAATGTACATTACAAATTCTGCTTTTTATAGAACCAGAACCACAGTTATTGTATTAATTATACGCAAATTGTCAGCCCGATGTCGTGCATTCTCTCACGCAACTTTGTTGTTATTTACACGCAAGAGTGCCTTATTTCCAGCTCTTTTATATTACATGCAACTGGGGGATTATTCTTGTGGACACCACGTCGTTGGAATTGCGCCCCAATATAAAAGCCGCTCATCGTATGATATTCTAAAGGACATCGTGAGTGAATATGTTATTTTATTTTATTTATTTATTTTTAAACATTTTTTGGTCAGGGGTGCTCAGTTCATCGAGGCTGGTTTGAATGGGGCCCTGATGAAAAAGAAAAAACAGCACACGAGACAAATAAAGAAAAAAAATGGTGCTACTAAGGTTTGACGTGGTTTAATTTTATCCTTGTCTTACGTTTAATTTTTCTTTGTTTCAAACTCATTATCATACATTACTATACCCACAAGCAAAAGAAAACCAAATTTAAACCAAGCCTAAACTTGAACCCCAACATATACTTCGGTAAACATAATTTATATCAGAAAATGGTTACTTAACATTGAATTTTAATATAAAATTAAAATGCGTCTCTAAGATTTGAACTTGCGCGGAGATGTTTCATGACGTGGAGCGTATTAGACCTGACATAATGCAAACTTCCATATGATAATTTTTTTTTATTTGGTTTTGTTAATGTTGTTGTTGTTAAGTTTCAGTATGTTTTGATCTACTTATTTGTACCACAATTCTACCGCAAAATGACAGGTAAAATTAAGACGCAATGTCCCCGAGGAATGGGCAGATAGTTAAATAGTAACTTTTCGTTATTCTGTCTGTAATTGTTTATGAGTTTCTGTCTAGATTATTGAGTGTTTCGAGTTTTCCTTGGAGTGTGTTATATACATGACATCAGCTACAATTATAATATACAAAGCTATGATTTAGATAGAAGCTGATAAACGTAGACGGACCAAATTGTAGCTTTTAGCTTCTTACTCATTCAAATAAGGTTAATCTAAAGAAACTTCAACAACAGATGACGTTTGCTACATTTCTGAAGGCTAGAGTGGTTTTACTTGAACCGTGAAACAGATAATAAAAACTGGTGCAAAATATATAGCTACATAAACAAGAGAAGACAACAGAGTTTGTGCATAATAGTGCGCAGTATTCTACTACCTGTTTCATGGGTTAAGTATAATCACTCTATATTATTTTTTTTGAAGTAGGGCCTTTGAGACAGTGTCAACGTCAAACGAAAATTCCGATCGATTTTTCTTCCTTTTTTCAAAGAAAAGTCAGTACCCATTCCCAACAATGTGGGTTTCAAGTGAGTCTTGTAAACCGCGTCGCCGCGTCTCCTGCTTAGGCAGGTAATGTGCCCCACCCTCCCAGCCCTTATAATTTCCATTGCTTTGTTAATGCTGATTGAAAGGTTAAACAGGCCTTTTTCGGTTCTTTAGCTTTTCTAAGCGTCTTGTTGTCGTTCATGAACAAAATCATTACCATGCATGTCCATGTCACACTGATTCGCAAATGAGAAAATTTATATAGAGCGTTTTCACTTACGTGGCCAGCATCTATGCCAATTTATTGGGACCAAAAGAAAGCGCGTTTACATAAGAAAAGAGTTCAACTCCTACAAGATTGGCTTGGAACACCAACATGGCTGCCGTTTCATTGTTTTGGAGCACCAACGGGGACCTTACGATCCGACAACGGCAACGCCAATGAAAAAGTCGCTGAAAATTAGAATTCGCGTCTTTTGAAATTTTTTCACCCTTATCCAAGCCACTCGGTTACTTGAAAGTAGGGAAGTTAAGTTGGAAGTGAAGAGAGAGGACTGCGTCTGAGTTCAGGTAGAGATAGTAAAATTAGAGAGATTAAGATTCCCGTTTACGCCAAACGGCAAACGTCAGATTCAAGTTGAGAATTTCTGAGAATAGAAAATAAGCAGATAAAAACTGTCCAGAACAATTCTTATGTATAAAACTGGCGTGAAACTACCTATTTGTTAGTCCAAGTAATAAAAAGTTAACGACAATTAAGGGAAAAACTTGGTCACGTGGTACAAATTCACGTTTGGCGTAAGACGTGAATCTTAATTCTCAAGTCAACTTAGAATTTGGTTATTTCACGTCGCAGTTGTGTAGGGATGGCAAAGAAATGTACAAAAAGGTATGAGGCACGTGCAGAGTTGTTGTTTTGCCTAACTTTTTTGACATTCTCGTTGCTGTCGCCGTCGTACTTTCGTGAGGTCCCTAATATGGGCGCCGTGACGTCATGTGAAAACGCTCTATAATTGACGTTTGAAACTCTACAATCAACCCGCTTGACCGTAAATTGCAATCGACGACACCACAAACAACGCCAAAAAGAACCAGAAGAAGATGCGATCCAGCGCGCGAGCAATCTCTTTCCACGTTTCTTGATTGGTTTCGTCCTCTTTTACTGAGCTTGCGCCAACGGCAACTGATGTCTTTTTTGTCCTCTGACTGGCATCGCCCGACTCTAATTCATCAAGTTCTTCTGCTTTAATGCCACTGTTTTCGTTACTAGTCACATTCGTGACCGGCGATGTTGCGGATACCTTACCGCCTTTGGTTCGCCTTCCTCTGCAGCAAGTAATCCCGTTTAAAACTGAAAAGAAATGTCATGCGTGGCGTAAACATGAGCATACGAATAGCATGGCACTTAAAGATAACGGCATAAACACAAAGAGAAGTATCAAAACCTTGCGTTCTTCTTATCCCTATAAATCTAGCTTAAATTATGTCACACCGTCCTCGCAAGCGCGCTTGCGTCGCTAGTGAGGGCCAGGCTTAACTAAACAGCCACACTATTATCCGATTAACTAGACACTGCTCTCCGGTATATACAGTCGACTCCCGATAACTTGAACCTTCAAGGGAAATCGAAAAAAGTTCGAGTTATCGGGAGCTACAAGCAAATAGCCGGAAATAAGGGAAAAACCAGTTTTTACTGTACAGTGAACATTTTAATCCATTTAATTGTATAGATTTTAAATGAAAATTGAAAAACACTTCTAGATTATATATCAGAACGTAACGTAATAGTCCAGCTGTTATCGACCAAAATTGTTCACTTTTATGATAAAAGCATGAAACTTTGCCAGGTTACAACCAACCCTAAGACTAACATTTTTGGATATGGAGCCAAGCCAAATTCAACACTGGACACGAGTACTGCGCAGGCCCTAAAATGGCCTACATGAAAACGAGGCTGTTAGTGGAAATCCTTCAAAAATACCATTTTTGAGTGTTTCTGTAAATAAAAGTCGTAGATATTGTGGAAGAAGACATTTGCTTTACTGTCATGCTTTCTTTGGTGTCACGTGACCCCTCCTTCCAAATATGGCGGGCTATTGTTGGGTGTCCTGTGTTGAAGCTGCCTTCTGTGCATTTGTGTGTTTAAAGGGGTGAGAAGAGGCACCTTTTCAAGCAAGTTCAAATGATAACACTCTTGCAACTATTGTCCAATTATCAACAGCTGTTTTTTACCATACAAATGCGAATCATTACATGAAAACGATCTTTTCAGCGGTTTGAAAAGCCTCCAGTTAGCCGTGCGTGAGTCATCTGTTAGCCGTGCGTGCAGTCATCTTGAGTTGGATTCATACACCATTGCCTAAAAGCCTGAATTGATCAAAAATTGTGATCGCACGGCGTTTTTGCAGAGTTTTTTCTCCACAGACGACAATCGAAAGTCATATGACATAGACTTTTTCCTTAAATATGCCATATTGAAGGAATTGAAGAGCCCCCCTTTCTGATAGTTGTATCCTCAAGATAGTTGTAGATGTCACTGTATCTTAAGAGTAGGTTGTACACCAGTTTTACCAATGGTGAATCGACACCGTCCCAAAGAAGCAGTTTTTNCTTGATAATTGGAAAATATTTGCAAGAGTGTTATCATTTAAAATTGTGTGAATCGTTGCCCATTCTCACCCCTTAAAACGCACAAATGCATAGAAGACAGCTCCAGCACAGGACACCCAACAATGGCTTCGCCATATTTGGAAGAAAGGGTCACGTGACACCAAAGATAACATGACAGCAAAGCAAATGTCTTCTTCCACGATATCTTCAAGTTTTATTTTCCAAAACACTTAAAAACCTGTTTTTTAGAAGCATTTCCACTGTCAGCCTCGTTTTCATGTAGGCCATTTTAGGGCCTGCGCAGTACTCGTGTTCAGTGTTGAATTTGGCTTGGCTCCATATCCAAAAATGTTAGTCTTAGGGTCGGTTGTAATCTGGCAAAGTTTCATGCTTTTATCATAAAAGTGAACAATTCGCTATATTTTTGGTCGATAACAGCTGGACTATAACAAAACATAGCCTAATAGAGCATACGTTTATTGTTTTGAGAAGTAAAGCTGTGTCCCGTTAGATTTGTTACAAACAACGTCAGCCTCCTCTTGTAAACTACATGCCTACAACACGTCAATGGGAAATTCAAAATTCAATGTTTCGAACGCCAGTACACTGTTTTTTTTTGTTTTCCCGACTTTTTAAGTGCTCAAAACATGGTTCGAGTTTTGGAGGGTAAATTTTTATAGACATGATCTGTCAGGGAAACAAAAATTACTTCAAGTTACTTCGGGAGGTTCGAGTTATCGAGGGTTCGAGTTGCCGAGGGTAAAATTACAGTAAATGTATGAAGGAAATCCAGGGGAAATCGATTTTGGTTCGAGTTAGCGAAGTTCGAGTTATGGGGAGTCAACTGTAGCTATCTACACAAAGACTACCTCGTGAGTCTGGGCAAGATTTTCACGCATACAAAAATGAGAGCTCGATCGCACGACGTAAAATAAAATTAAAATAAATACGTTTTGTTGACTCATTTCATTAATATGCTTTGAATTTATCAGTACTGCTTCGATCCCTTATCTATTTGTCATTTCTGCTCGATGAGTATGATTTTAGAAATTTAAGAACGATAGAGGAGCGCTTCTTAAAGCCTGGTTTTCACTAGCGCATAAGCATGAGCATAAGGACATACGCACGAGCAGAATGGGATATTTGACTCAATTCTCGATACCAGCTCTCCTGAACCCGATTATAAACAAGATGGCGGACGCTTCGTCCGCCATACTGCTTTTGATATGTTCGCATGAGTTCTGGTCAAAGTGATCTATGATTGGTCAAAGGCCTTGTGCTTATGCTATTGCTTATCTCGACGCCGTTTTCACTAGTCAAGGCTACGACATAAGCATAAGCACAAGCACAAGAAGAAAGATCTTGTCCTTTTTTCTTGTGCTTATGCTTATTCCGACCCAGTTTTCACTTGCTTACACATGCGCTTGTGCTTATGCTCATGAAGTGCCATGTAAAGCATGGTTTCTATAACTCTGCAGATCGTATCACCTTTGTATCGAATTCAGTCCTAGCTCTAGCCAGTCGTACGCACGGTCCCGGCACATCCGAGGTACTTTAGTATGAATTTGCCGATCCCCTGAACAATAAGTGATCAGTGTGTTTACATGAAAACTAGCCTTACATACAGATTCGTTCCTAGATTTCGCTAGAACAGCGAGCGTAGCATACCATAAACGGAATAGACCTTTTTACCGATACGGCCGCCATATTGAATTTATTAGATTTAAGGAGTATTATGGGATGCCCGGGGGGCACTCGCTCAGTATTTACGCGCGCTTCTCGGGCAAAAAGAGAACTTCACTGTATATTTCTCGGGAAAAAGGCGATCATTATTACATCCAAACACGGCACAACGATCTTTTTTTTCCCATTACAATCTTTTTCTAGGAAAACTTAAAGAAAAATTGGCCCGAAAAGCGCACGTTAATACTGAGCGAGTATATCGGATCGTGCTCATGCCCCCTGGACATCCCATAATACTCCTTAAATCTAATAAATTCAATATGGCCGCCGTATCGGTAAAAAGGTCTATTCTAGAAGTGGGTTGTATCGACTTCCATACACAGAACTTACAGGTATCTTTCCAAAAACATTACTAACCTATTAAACAGGTCAAAAAGCTTGGAGGCTCTGACGTGGCGTGATGAGCCATCAGTACCAGAACAGTAGCGGTCAGCGCCAATCCAATTTCAAGCATGATCACTATAAAGTAAATACCAATCAACGGCATTGTGTCTGACTGCTCAGGCAACTGTTCCGTAACAACAAGAAGGTAAACGCTGACAGCTAGCAAAATGGTGGCGCACAGGCCAATACGTTCACCACTCTCCGCCGGAATGAAGAAGCTAACAAGAATCAGCAAACCGATTATCATGCAAGGCACGAATGAGAAGAGGAGGAAGAACATGGGCTTGCGTCCGATAGAGAACGACACAAGAACCTCGCTGAATTTACGTCCTTGGAAGTGGTCTTTGGACTTAATCTCTATGCCTCTCAGCGACCAGTAACCGTTGCTTGTGGTGAGATTAAGCTCTGTTGAAATGAAGGAGTAAATGTTTTGGTTTTGAGTTCACGTTAGGTCAGATTAGTGGTACAGGATTCACCAGTTTACGGATAGATTAATCAATTAGTTTTTACGGTTTTGAAAACTTCATTCGCCTTAGTACTATGAAGCATTCCCGTTCATTCACCTTTGCTGGGTTCATCGCTTTCGATCTTTTTTGTGTCGATGACCATGAGCGAGCTGTCAGTTGTAAGCGATCGAAACTCCATTTTGCACTTCTGTATGTCGAAAGGAAACTTCTGTACGTTGAGAGGGCATGTGCTTTTAAAGGTTGCGGGGGAAAACCATGTATTTTCCCCATTGTTCTGCACAGTGACAAAACTTCGAAATTTCTCTAAATAACCCGCTTGAATGGTTAAGCTGTCTGCACTGAAAGAAAAAAAGATATTCACGACGTGTGAGACAACATTGCGTTATAAGAAAAACATAACGTACGTAAAACAAGGACTAAATTAAAGGACTTGCGAATGAATAAAACAAGGAAAATAAATAAGAGTAAAGTGACGACGTCCTCAGTTGAATGTGAATACATGTAAAAAAATAATAAGTCGTGGAAAGAAAGAAAGATAACTTTGAAGTCCGCAATCAATGCTTGGCTATATTGGTTTAATGTGTAGACTTTCAATAAGTCCTTCGTCTGATTTAATATGGCGCGGGACGAAGCCTCTCGCGAGTTCGTCGCTCCCTCGGCCACTTCGCGGCCTAAAAAGCTCGCTCCTCTCGCTTACAAACTCGTGAGGTCGACTTGTGGCAAGTCTTCTTACTATGCTGAAGTACCCGGTTCTTGGCGGAAAAACTAATTTGCTTTACTTTATTAATTGTCATGAGTTCACATCGTAGCTGAATGTCAAACGTCTATGTCAACTCTCGACGTGCCACAAGTCAGACGAAGGACTTTTTTTGAAAGTCTATGTTAACTTAAAACGCCCTGGAACTAAAACAATTTAAAGGCAATTTCTTAGACTAACTTGTTCTGCAGAACGATGTCTGGCACCCATATTTCTTTTGGTTCAACTAGGATTTGCTTTATTCCGTCGTAATCCGCAGCATTCCATTGAAGAAACGGATTCGTCCACATCTGTTAGCGTAGAGAAAAAATGGGCAGACATAGTCAACCTTTCGTTTTGAAAGTTCCCTGATTTTTAAAGAGATTGTATTTCAAAACAAGATGTTTTGCTCCCAAACGACAAAGCGCTACATCGCTATTTTTACAGCTATTCTTTTGGGTGTCACCGTTAAATGCATGGGTACTATTTGTTCCGTTTCCAAAAGATTGCAATGATTTAGCTCTTTTGTCCATTACCTTGGCTTATATCTTAATGTCGCGGGTGCAAATCGTCAAGGTTGAAGAAAAATATACTATTATTATTTAAAAAACAAACAAACAAATCAAGCAATACTAGACTCGAATTCCTACTGTACATACAAACCGTATTGCTGCAACCAGTTGCAAAGATACTTGAGCCACTGTACCTTTATTGGGTTTCAAGTTAAATGGCCTTTCCATGTGCCTGTGATATCCCCTCCTCCCCTTGTCAAAGTGGTTAGTAATACAAGACCATGTTCAAAACTACCTGGAGTAACAACTTTTACTGGGNAGCGCTACATCGCTATTTTTACAGCTATTCTTTTGGGTGTCACCGTTAAATGCATGGGTACTATTTGTTCCGTTTCCAAAAGATTGCAATGATTTAGCTCTTTTGTCCATTACCTTGGCTTATATCTTAATGTCGCGGGTGCAAATCGTCAAGGTTGAAGAAAAATATACTATTATTATTTAAAAAACAAACAAACAAATCAAGCAATACTAGACTCGAATTCCTACTGTACATACAAACCGTATTGCTGCAACCAGTTGCAAAGATACTTGAGCCACTGTACCTTTATTGGGTTTCAAGTTAAATGGCCTTTCCATGTGCCTGTGATATCCCCTCCTCCCCTTGTCAAAGTGGTTAGTAATACAAGACCATGTTCAAAACTACCTGGAGTAACAACTTTTACTGGGGGGGGGGGGACAAATGTGTGACTAGCAGCGATTTGAAGGAAAAAGGCCGATTTTCGTCCGTGTCTGAGTATTTTTACAGAAGGTTGTACTACGTATTTAGACTATTAAAGCTGCCCTGCATTTTAAAAGAAATTGTTTTAAAATTTTTCATTAATTTGTTCTTTCATTTCACATCACATTACATTACAATATCACTCATTAATAAATTACTAATAGTACATGCACTGACAAATACCAGACTGATTACAAATTCAAAATACAAATTACAAATGCAAAAAGAAAACATTCAACATGAAAAATAAGTTACTAAATTATTTATAAGAAAAGAGAGCAAAGCCAAAGATGAGAAAATGATAATGCCAAAGTGCAAAAAATAAATATAGTTAAATTTATTTATTATTGTGTATATAATGTATTTATGTATTTGGGCGACAAAAGCGTGTTGGTGAAGTGATGTGTTGGAAAGAGGGATTGAGAAAGCATTGAGATAAAGAATTTGCTTCTCTGGGTTTTACCCTTGATGGCCTTTTTAATCTACTTCCTCTCTCTATTGACTGTAAAGTTTTGACCCTAGGGAAGTGTCTTCTTAGAAGATTAACGATATTTCACGGGTCCTTACTTGCGTGACTGTAGTGTCTGTAGTAATGACTTGATCCTTGTTGTTCTGGAAAAATAAAAAAAACCTGTTTTTAATTAAGAGATGAGAATCTTAAAAAAGAAATCTTCAAATAAGTTAGTGTACCTTAAATTCTTAAGGGTAAACTTATCGTTACACGTTACACCCTATTAAAGTCAGCAAGACTTTTCATGGGTAGTCTAGTGTTGAGTTAGCAATGACAGCTGAATAATGAAGCATTAAAGACGCATTTTTTAAAGTTAAGCATCTATGTGAAGTGAATTTCGTCTCAAATTTCAGCGACAAGAAGACATGTTACTCCAGTGTATATCGTTAGTTTTCAAAACTTCCCGGGCACCCTCCTGCGGGCATTTCTGACAGTTATTCATCCAAAATATTTATTCTTTCTGATTGGCCCAAATCATGCCAAATCTCCCGGCTAGTTCTTCTTAACGAGCTGGCGTTGACCAAATTTTGTAGTTTGTGATATCCAGTATATTGAATGAAGTCAATAGTACGGCATCGCCAGAAGAGCGGATGCTTGCTACATGCGAAAAATGACAGAAAATTTCAACTTTTTGCGAAGCAGAATAACTAATGTACTACCTGAAAACACAGATACAAACAAAACCAAAACGTCAACGGATGACAATTGCTATTTGAAGAATATATGCTAGATTAAAGATCCCTTTATATCCTGAATTTGCCGATGAATAGGCAGATGACAGACAGCCGTAAGTAACATCGATCGAGCCGGTAAGCATGTTTCAGTAATGTATCGTATGATCGAGGAAGGCCTCGGCAGGTAACACCCTCCTCAATCTGCATAATTTTTCATATCATACTCAGTCTCATCCAATAATTATTGATTAATTTTACTTGTGGTCACGGCATAACGTATCAATGTGCCTGCCCATTAATGTTTTCGGTAATTCAATCTGAATACGATTAGGGACTATGGCATATTGCAAACAATTTTGAGTGATCTTTTAGTAATATGATTGAGCTATTTGATCAAAACTGTATAAATTTAATAATTACTTCTCAAACTCATTAATCAAGAAAATACAAAGGAAATTTTATGTTTAATAAGTTTTTGGAAATCAGATGGAAAAACTGCTCATTTTTGCGTCCTTAATTTCTCCTTCTAAAATCATTTTGTTTGAGAAGTAATATCAAGCATTCGACAGAGTGTTTCACCACCAGATGAAACACTTCGAAGTTCGTCAAAAATACTCCGCTGCGCGTCGTATTTTCAACTCGTTTCTCAGTGTTTCATGAAACACTGCGTCTGATGCTTGATATATATTACCTTTAACACCAACCTACCACTTCACTCAGCGCCGTGAACTCAACCAAAAAAGTAACATTAATAACATCAGATGGCTTTAATACTGGCCGGACCATTCTGTCGTATCCATTGAACAGAGCTCTTCGCAGTCTATATTCAGCCGATTGAGATATATTGTGTTCTCCGAGCCCTAAAATAACTGTAAAACAGAGTGTAATCCAATAAGAAGGTAAGTGTTATAATCAGTAGTCCATTCTCGAATATATTTCCATAGTACTATAAAATGACTGGCTTGTTATGGGGCGGGGCAGTTTTTGGTGACTGAGTTAACGACTACAAGACCAGTCACTAGATAGAAGGCGTAATAATTCGACTTCTTAATTTCTTAATTCAACAAAATGAACTAACCATTTCGAACGCCGGGTTAAGTTAATTCATGATAAAGGCATTCGTGTTAAGGTGTTTCGATACAGTTTCTCAGAGGCCATACCGATATTTTTCAATCGCCTTAAAAGTAGTTTTTACCTTGTCCGATCGCTATAAAATTTTCACCAGTAATTGGCTATGGATTGAAATTTGTGAAAATGTAGTTTTAAGTAAAATCGATATTACTATGACAACAGTAAACAAAAAACTTTGAAATTGATAAAAGCCGAATTTTGTGTGATCTAGACCTGCTGCTGAAAGTCCAACACTAGGAACTTAAAGTTTGGTGTTTAGCAAACAATCTCCGTAAGAAGTAAAAAATTCTGTATGTTTGAATTCGAATAAAACGAAAATATATTTCAAACCTTAAATTTTCAATAGCCGTGATAGGTTATG